GACCCAGACCATCCCACTGCCACCAGCACAACAAGACCCAGCATGTCCAAGAAAGACATAGAGCTAGACCTCGACTTGGACTATGATTTTATTCTGTCCAACTCAATTCTTCAGCAGCAGCAGCAGCAGCAGCTACAGCAGCAACAACAGCAGCAGCAGCAACAGCAGCAGGAGGAGACTATGGCATGCACCTCTGGCCAGGCCTCCTCTCCCTCCCCAGGCTCCTTCTCTTCTTCTTACCCTCTCCCCTCCCCTCAGGGCACTGCCAGTGAGCTGCTCTACACCATCCCAGACATAAGTGACGTTTCACCCTCTGGGGGCTTCGTGGCGGAGCTGATGAGGCCGGAGTTGGACCCGGCTTACCTGCACCCCACTAGCCTCCATGGCAAGTTCGTGGTCAAGACAACATTAGACATGGGAGAATACAGCCAGGGCCTGACTGTGAGCAAGGCCTGTGTCAGCGCCGTGTCAGACCCAACTCCTTCTCGTGCCTCACCATCATTTATATGCCACAGGATAAAGCAGGAAAACCCTGGCAACTGCACCATCTCACAGCCAATTGACCTCCACCTGGCTGGGGTAAACTCTCATGGCAGAGGGGGCCAGCAGCAGCGCCCCAGCCACTTGGACCTACATGGGTTCCCCGGCGGAGGGCGGCCCATGACGGGCGGTAGGTTATCCTCATCCTCATCCCTCTCCCCAGACCATCCTCTGAGCCGGGAGCACCAGGTGTTGGGGCATCCTCACTCTCAGATCCCTCTACCTCCCCAGGGATACCACCATAACTCCCCACAGGGCTACACCTCGTACCCTCAGTCATCCTCCATGCAGTTCCAAGGTAAGAGCACGTTTCCTTTTTGACTCTATACTTTCTTTTAATGTAATGTGGCTACAGAAATCAGTCATTTAAATGTGAAATGTCTGTTAGAAGATAAGTGAAAGAAAATGAATAGATACATATAAAGCAGAGTAACAGGGACCATATTAGAAAACAGTCCATAAAGTCTATTTAAATACATGTTTAATTAAACCCAATACAACAAGAGCATAACATGTTAAAAAACCTGCATTCAATGGCATTGGACAAATAATCCCCTTGTCACCATAAAGACAAGGCCACATAAAAATAATTTGTATTTCATTTTCATTAGATTAGTGTTGCCTTCATTGCTTAAAGACAAAAAAACGTCACTTATGTGTTGCTCTTCCTGGTTATGCCACTTTTATGCCTTTTCACACAATAGTGTTATGAAGTTACAAGCTAATTAGGTTGTTTAAGAAGAAAGCTGCTGTTTTCTAAAGAATCTGAATCCGTGACCTTATTCCACCATGTTATAACTGATATTATTTGTCTGTATGATGAGGTAGAATATTGACCTTGTTCGTGATCTTCTGACCCCCCCCCCACAGAGCCCCTCATGATCTCCAGTGGGGACTGTTTGCCGGAGGAACCAAAGCCTAAACGCGGCAGGCGCTCCTGGCCCAGGAAGAGAGTCGCCACGCACACATGTGACTACGTTGGCTGTGGGAAAACATATACCAAGAGCTCCCACCTCAAAGCACATCACCGCACACACACAGGTATGTAACTGCATGTTCACATTCTATCATCTATTCTTTTTAAATTGTCACATGAAGATAGCTTATATTCTCACGGCTTATATGGTTTTAATGTAGTAGAGCTTTAGCACAGCTTTAATTCATTTGTGCTGTTTTATTTTTTAGAGCTAAATAGTCAAACCACATCTGTTGCACAGGGGTTTAGATGGGTGTGGGATGAGTGAGGGGGGAGTTGTTGAGCAGGTGGAGTAAAACAGGTTGATACTGATCCCTGCTTGAATGCAAACCCCGGGCCGAGTGGTTTGAACTTTATACACGAGCTGCAGGACAGGATGGGCCTCTTTTTCCTCCTGGAGGTGGGGAGGGTTGGGCCAGTTTAACCTCAGGGCCAGTGGTAACCACGCCATGTGTGTATTGTGTTTCCATTAAAGGGGAGAAGCCTTACCATTGCGACTGGGAGGGCTGCGGCTGGAAGTTTGCACGGTCGGACGAGCTCACGCGCCATTACAGGAAGCACACGGGCCACCGGCCGTTTCAGTGTCAGAAGTGCGACCGGGCCTTCTCGAGGTCAGACCACCTGGCTCTGCATATGAAGAGACACTTATGAGACCAGGTTGGCGGACCAGGCCGGATGGCGATGGTTGAAGGCTCCTGAAAAACAAAAACAAAACATTGGCACAACACTCAACAGACATGTGACCTACTCATTTTTAAAACCTTAGATTTCCCCCAAGCTATTGTCAAGCAACAAGACAAGCTGTGGTGTTCACGGCAAAGAGCATTACTCCTCTAAGAGCCTAGAATTTCTCTCAAGACTGACCCCGTCTTCTCACGTTGTGCCGGTGACTCAACGAGACCTCTCAGCCAGGGTTGTTAACGTCTACAAAAGGGACCAAACTGGAATTCTTCATATTTAACTGACAAAACTTGGATGGACCAGGTGCCAACAACTTTTAACTGGAAATGTATTCTTTAGTCAGGGAAGCCAGAAGCAGCTGACACACATCTTCAGAGGCCTTCTACCAGCAACATGCCAATTATAGGATCAGCTACACACTGTTCAAAATACTGTATTAATAAATACATCTATATTTATATACACATTTCACCTGCGATGCCATTAATTTCAGGTACAATGTTAATTTATACAGAATGGTGCTCAGTGACTCTGGAGAAGGTTTTCTTTAAAGAAAAAAAGGTACCAAAGATAAAAGGAAAAAAATACAAATAGGTGAAAACTATGAAAAAGTGCCATATTGTTGTTTGTGCGTTTCTCGGAAACCTCTTCCACAATCTGACGTAAATCAGGTGAACACTTCACTTTTGAAACGGTGATGGCAATCTTCAATGCACTGCAATTGCAAAGTGCAATAATTTATATGAGACATTCATATTTTTGTATGGAATGAGTAACTCTGAACAAAGATTTTTTTGTTTATAGCCTAAATATGTAATATAATCTTGAATTTTGTACATTTGTAAATAAAATTGCTTTGTTATTGTTTTGTATTTTACAGTATAATAAAATAAAATGTATTTGAAATAAGAAAACAAAGCCTTTATACCCTTTTATGAGTCTACGCTATTATTATTCACTTCGTTGCAAGGAAAGCAAAGAAACAAACATGTCAACGCCATGAAATAATCAACATTAGCTGCATAACAATGACATGCATGGTAGAATTGCCCTTGAACATCAGTCTTAGTAATCATATATTTCCCTGCTTGTGTAATGAAGAATCAAGTTTAAATGGCACCAAAAGCTCACAACCAGCTCACACAGAATATCCCCCTGATAATCACGAGATTGCCGCGGGCAAACTAACACAATGTTGCCGTTAAAAAAAGATTTTCAGAAAATACACTCCTTCAATGTCCTGTTTCCATGGGTTTCTCTTTCCACCTGTCACTGGGAAGAATGGGGAGGACAACTGAGTTCCCTGCTGACATTCAACGGTGACACCAGATCTGACTCGGACTAAGCTCAGGGAGCACAATATGAATGAAACCTGTGAAGATGCTGCAGTGAGATAGTGGCTTGATATGTTTCTGCTGAATGATTATTGTCATAATGCATCATTCTTTGCAGGGTATGTGCGTACTGTATTTATCTACATGTATCTAGTTACAGCAAAGTTGTGTGGTTATATTATAATATAGAAATTACGTAAATGAAGTCCTGCTGTATGTTTATCATGCACTTAACAACTGAAAGATCAACTTGTAACCAAGAGAAAGTCAAAGTAATATTATAGTTATATTCTTATAATATTAAACATTTGCTTCTCTTTAAAAGTTATATATACTGCAAATATCATAAAGTTGTACTAAAATGTTGAATACCTTTTTTTTTTTTTTAAAGTTACCATCCTTCTTGCATTTACCTTATACTCTTCCAATTTAATTGTAAAAAATGGGAGTGTATGAGGATAAGATAAAGGACAAGTTCTGAATTAATTTATATATATTTCCACTATAAAGTGTGGTAACATCTATTACTTTAATTTAATCTATTCAAATTAAAGGAGTTGCATGTTTTGCGAGGTGATAAACCTTGAAAAACAAGCAACTAAATTAATCAAGAATAAAAACCATCAGAAATAGAATAATTTACATCCTATTTATAGTACAAGGGTCAAATGACACAAGTGTTTGCGGTGATATTGTGTATCCATTTAAGTCCCAAGAAATAAACTGTAACAATTCAGTTTTCTTTAGAGGTTAAACTCTTTCACCAAGGTTCAAATGTTGTTAAAGTTTGAGAACTTGACCCAGTTTGTGTTATTCAAGTAAACACATCTTCAGGATGGCAAAATGAGCTGAGTATTATTGACTTAAGGAAAATACCATGGTCTATGTTGCCCCCTATAGGTCAAATCAGTTTTAAACACACTTTGTCGTTTACTAAAAACTATGGTGAAAGAACACCAAAATATTAGCTGTGGGTTGAATGACACCAAATAAATTTCCTAAATGCACTTTTTGTAAGAAAACAAAAACAGATTGGCTGACCAAAATTTGTTTTTCACTGCTACAGACTTGGTTCATTAAATATGGAGCATGGTGGACCGAGCTACATCCGAGTTTTTAAAGTTTATTATCTGAAATTACTAGAATGGGACCAGGAAGTGATTGTAAAAGCCATTTACCAACACTAAAAGATGTTTAGAGTAAAGTTTCCTTTTAAGACAGTCAGCTTTCTGCAGTCTGACTCAAACACAGCAAAACAGGCACAGCTTTCATTTATCTTGAAAACTTTATTTTTTTTTTCTGTAAAAATGACAGTTGCTGCAACTCAACCCATTCACATGTATGTAAACTATAGACATGTTTAAATGCCTTCATATATGTGCTGCAGTTCAGAGTTCAAGACACAGCTCCTGCTGATTTACATGCAGATTCAGGATGCTGAACAGAAAAAAAAGAACCAGTGCCGTAAATGTTGGATATCCACAGCTTTAATTTTTGTATATCTTCATTACTCCTCAATTAAAAAAACAAAAACAAGAACAATAGTGCATGGATACCTTTCAGATCTACCCTGACCCCACCCCACTTAGGAAACATACTGCCAGTGGAAACCATATTGACTTCACTAGTGTTGAAAAAAAATTGCATGCATGTGATTTGATGCACCCTAACTGTTCCTTCATCGTTTGTCCACTTCAAACTGATCACAAACAACAGCCCGTCAATGTGATAATCATCCAGTGTTATTAATAGAAAGTATGGAAGTGGTGAATAAACTGTTTTTGGAAATGTAAAAGGCTTTGTTGTACACAAAAAGTAGAGGAAGAAATAAGGAAAATCAATCAAAAATAAGGATGGCGCTCAATCATCAAAGGTCTGTTGTAAAAGGAAGTTGGCGGCCAAGTCCTCGTTCTTCTCACAAGCAAAGTACGCTTGTATAACAAGTCCTTCTGGAAATCCTAAGGCTTTTAGCTGGAAGTAAAGAGAAAAATTGCAAATTAGGCCAAAAATACTTTGATAAGCAAATAACAGTTCGTACTAAGTGGCAATAGAGCTAAAAAAAAAAAAAAGTGATGGCAACAGCATCACTTTTGTATCTATTTCCAGCACTTCTTGGACATATGGAGGTCAACGACAGTGTTATGTTCCTCCTCACCCTCTCGATGGCCTCCTTCTCCTGCGGAGTGACCTGAATGTAGCTCGTGTGACTTCCGCCAGGTGCATCCACCCCCAATCTTCCGGCTCCCCCGGATCCACCTCCCGATCCACCTTCGCCACTGACTGGCACAGCCTCTGGATTGGGCTCATTCAGCATCTGGATGAATTGCTCTTGGTGGCTGCTGATCTCCTACAGCGCAAATGAGCAGTTTAATCATGACTGGAGGCATGGAAACTATTTACTGTTGCTTGGATCTTATAAGGTGGCAGTTGTTTCCTTGTTGGTCATGTTTCCGCAAATAAAGTCACAATTTCCTCTTCTGTCCATGAGTTATGACACTGAATAACGGCAAGAAGTGTTTTCACAAATATACTTGTTTTAAGTTTGTTATAATCAGGGTACAGGAGCCTGACGGGTAATATTTGAATAGAATTTGAAGGAATTCACATAAAGCATTCTTGATATTTGCATTCACAAGAAGAAGACACAAGGAAGGTCACAGGGACTTTTGACCTTTGAAATCAGACATAAAATCAATTCATCTTTGAGTCAAAGTGAAAGTTTCCATCTTTGGTGTTGCTGTTGATATGTTTCAGAAGAACATGAGGTCACCATGAAAAAAATTATATTGATGAAATTCCCTCAAGACATTCTGGATATATAACGTTCACAAGAATAAGACAGACGGAAATCCCAAAAATCAAAATGCCTTCAGCCACAGTTGTCGCTAGTGTGGAGGCATGATATACATGTATTTGGTTGGGACAGCTGGGACACAAAATGCTGACTTTTAATCTCTAGCAAGGTTCAAGGTCCCAAAACCCTGGACTCTATGCAGACTGTGCAGATTTCCTTGTGAGGAGTAAACTAAACATCGTGTGTACATTGAGTGGAGTGTCTCATGAAATCAGGACTGTGTCAAACACTTTCCACAACAATCTCTGATTAATGATAATAATTTAAAAAGAAATGAGTCATCTATCAGGACTTCACCTGCAACAGCTCGGGGTTTTCTCTGCCGATCTCCTGCAGCAGAGCCGGGAGCAGGGCGGCGTTCTGTTGGATCAGCTGTCGCATCACATGAAACTGGGGCTGATTTCTCAGGAAACTCAGGGGATTGACTGAGAAGATAAAGTATGAGTCAGGACACATAAGCAGCAAGATGCAAGAAGACAGACAGAAAAGTTATAACAGAACCCAAGCACTTGCTCACTGAAGCTGATGTGGGGAACAGTTTGGGTCATTTACCTCCAGCACCTGGTGAAGAGCCAGTGTTGGCTGGGACGATAATACCACCTGTCGATGCAGCTGTAACTCCGCTCACTGGAGACACCGCTGCATCAGGGCCGGTCACATTGCCCTGATCTCTGCCTGGGATACCCTGTCAGAGAACCATTTAAAAATGTCACAAACACTCAAGAGGGTAGGATCACACAATTCAGATCTGCATGTAGTCCATTGCTGGGTTGGTGCATAGACACATTTGTTATAGGCAAAGGCTCTAACCGTAAGCAGGTACTCCACAGCTCTGTCTGGGTTGTTGAAGCTCGCTCTCAAAGCTGCCACCACCTGCTCCCTCTCGTAGCCCATGAGCATCATCTCGTTCACCATGGCATCATATGACGGGCCTGTCACTAAAGCAACACACACACCAACACAGCAAACGCTTGTCAGTAGTGGCACCAGAGAGCTACCACAATTTGTGTTTGCTCAGGTTTTTTTTTTTTTTTTTAACTTAAGTGCAGTCCCTTCCTTATTATTGACAAACTTTCAGTAGGGACTGAACAAAATGTAAAATATCAACAAACATTTTTAAGGTAACAGAACTCAAATAACACGACTAACATTTGATCCTATGACAGAATATTAGACATTAACTTTCCATAAACAAAATGAAACTGAAAATCTTTAGGACCTTTTTAAAACCACTTCAAATGAAAGTTAAAACCAAACTTGTGATAGAAAATACACCAAAAGTAAATATATGAGCATTAATGTCTGTTATATCCCACGACATTGATCCATACAATCCCAAGTTTAAAAAGACACAGTGCGGTTTGCTTCATAAGCTCTTCCAGAAACTGGCTTTAACCACCACGAGTACTCGGCATTCTCAAGCCACTTATTGTTAAACTTGCATTTCCCCGTGCTCAAAAACTAGTTAGCAGGCTTGTTAGAAAGGCATTAGCTTTCATGAAAGGCCTGAACTTAACCAGAATAATGCAATTTTCGTGGTATCCTGAGGCGGTGATGTGCCTCAAAAAATGTAAACCCATCCAGTCTGTATTTGAGACAATTAGTACTTAGGCCTATTATTTGTAAAATTGAATTTAAGAGATTTTAAGATTTCTTAAGAATGTGCGGCCACCCTGGTTGAGCACAAATATAATACATAACATTGGAAGATAATTACAGGAGTAAACATAAAGATTTATGCCTCTTCTGTGTCCCACAAAAATAAACAACCCACATCAAACACTGAATATTCACATGAACCATAATAATGAACATCTAGAGGATTTGCTCAGAGCAAAACAATATTTGCAAAGTTCAGAGCATGTGATCATAAGAGTTGTAGGATTACGTTTGGCTGAGCAGCAGTATCAGACCTTTTATTGATTAAGACACGTCAATATCAGTGTGCTATGGGTATCAACAAGGAATAATTTGAGGCAACAAAATATAAGACTCATAATTACATATCTGTCAGAGCGCGCACCGATCTAAAGCCTTGTGATGACACACAACTAAGGTTTACAAAAGCAGCCTTACCTAGATTTGAAACTGCCTCATCAAGTAGGTTTGTGTTTGTTGATGCCTCAGAGCTTCTGCAGGAGAAAAAAAGACCTTAATTGAAGCCTGTTAAGTTTTTTTGCATCTTCTTGACACACTAAAAACAGCTGTTTGGTTTCCGACACACATCTACCCATCTTTACCCGACTGGGGAGGAAGCTGGTTCAGCAGCAGAGGACTGTCTCTCCTCCGGTTTGTCGTCTGTAGAGGGGCGCGCGATTGTGTTTTCCGAGACAGACGAAGAAGCGGGAGGCGCCGCGGGAGTTGTGCTGCTGGGAGCTGAAGTAGAAGGCGAGGGTGAAGGCTGTGGAGTGGCCGAGGCTGTTTTAGGCTGTAAGACAACATTTTAAATATGAAAACATGTAATCATTGGGTTACGGGTCATTTAAATGTTGATTTTGCGTTTGCCACTTGTGTATTTCGAAACACTGACTTATATTTTCTTATCTAGAATGGCTGTGCATCGTAATTCCAGCAGAGTTCTGGAGAACTTTAAGCCATCTATCATACATAAGTATTATACACAGAATGAAGATTTGGACAAGAAAGTTTTTCTTTACCTTCAGAAATTAGAAAATACACAAAACAGTCAAGCTAAAATACAGACATGCATGTCATTTACAGGAGAAAGGACTGTTCCTTCCTTCTGAGTGCAGCTAGAAACAAGACAATGTCTCAAAGATGTTCTGATTTTTGTGGAGATATCTACAGTGTGATACAAAGGAGAAAACCAGAGCAAGGCATGACTGCACTCTGACACACTCAATGTCAGAGCTTTTTGAGTCTTTTTGTTCATGTGCACAAAAAAAGCTTGTTCAACAGACAAACTTCTGATCGTGAGAAGGTTACAACCCCTATTTATAGTTCTATAGTAGCCCTAACCTTTACATTCAAGGAAAATATGTTCTACAAAAAATATATAAATAAATACATAGATGTTAACACCCCCCTACAATAAAACGATCTGCCATTTAGGAAAGCGTATTTTAAATTTCTGAACCTTTGTCACCATGATGACCACAAAGTTCTTCTCATCGATTTTATACTCCTTGAGGGCCGTGTCATCGTTGAGGATTTTACCTGCGAAGAGACAGAAAAGAGTCACAACTCTGTGGTGTTGACCCACCATGAACTCTGGAACAACACGTGGGGACATAACAAAAGACAGTATCATATTGTATCATTGAATAGACGATTTCTGAGCAGATAAAATCTTGCATTTGTCACCACGTATGATTCTTTTTGTTCTATTGCAGGTGCGGGGAACATTTGGCCCCTGTGTCGTTTATATGCAGCTCGCAAGACAGTTTGATCTGTCCTGCACTGCAATTCAGAAATACAAAGGAAACAACTCAAATACAAAAAACTATTCCCATGACAGAAATCTATTTTTTTGTGATAAAACATAAAAAGGTAGATTAGAACCCTTCCGGGCGGTTCCCTCTGACTGTATGCCTCTCAGGTCACAGTCAGGGTGATACAACACGCATGTAACAGTTGTGCATTATCAACATCAAAATATTGGCCATTGCACCAAGATGCTAATTTGTCAACAGGCGTTAGCTGATGAGCTCCCTGATTCAGAAGCTGAAAACTCTTCCAGGAGGAGTATTTGTGAGGGATCCATGTTGCCACTTTGAGCACCAGACCAAGTGTAAGTGTCAAAAAAAAAAAAACAACATGTCACTTTGTCTCAAAGAATTAACGCAGAGTGGATATCTGATATTGACTGAAATCACTGCTTTGCTAATGATGGGTTTCGGTAGTATCCATTTTGTTAGTGTTAAACATGTTGGATTCAAGCCAGGGGATTTATTGTGTCAGGACCCTATTTCAGTGCATCCTGGAATATTGTCATGTTGGAATATTCCACTACTGCAAAGCATCTTAAACGTGCAGTCATCTTTTTAATCAATATTTGGTTACGCATACTTGCATTCATGGTTTTATCTACAAATGTCTGCTCCCCTACAGCTCTTGCACTCGCATCAGCGCACTCCCGCCTCCAGCTTTCACGGTCAGCACCAGGCAGTCACTCATGGCTGATCCAAACAAATTTATCTTCATGTGACCAAAGAATGTGCTGCCAATATTTATCAGACTTCTTTGGCAAACTTTCATTCAGCATTTTTGTGAAAATGTTTTTCTTCTTGGAGGCCATCCATAGCTGCCGACTTTGTGCAATCTCCTTTACGCTGTCTGATCAGTCATCGAAACACAAGATAATCCCAGAAGCAGTTTCCTGTCTGTTTCTCAAGGGCAGATTTTTGAAAATAGTAAATTGTGCATGGCATCGTTTCCCTAGAATAATAATCAGAATAATTAATAATGAATATAACCACTGGTTGCAACCGTAATTAAAACAACAGACAGCAGTAACATACCGGCATAGATCAGCTTCTGTCCAGCAACGGAAAAAATGTCCTTTCCCTTCTCCTGTTCGATCCTCTCTTTTAGAGTCTTCACCTGTGAGAAAATAAAATATGTCAGGACCTTTGTGCAGCACTGGTTAAATGACTTTATGACCAGTAAAAAAATAAAATAGTACAAAGTGTGCAGAGGGTTAACTTCAGGCAGCACCATAAAGCTGCAGTTACACAGACATGACACTGAAAACAGATTGAAGCTTTACACCTGATCCAAGTGGATAATATGCATTTGTTCATGTTTCATGTAGATATGAAGGCTCAATGAAAATGAACAAAAAGCTGCTTTTCAAAAGACAAACTTGAAAATGAGAAGTTTTATTAAAAACTGCAGCGATCATCAGACTTCAGTCATTACACGTCTGATCTGATTTCAACATGAAGTTAAGTGATGGTTCACGCTTGGTCAAAAGATAATACCTGACTAATTGCAGTAAATGATGTTAATCAAATGCTGCTAACTCGCTAATTTTAACGTTTTTGACAGAAAATGATCGGGAAGGCTACAGCTAATGCTAACTTAACCTGTCATCATTTTTAACCTCATATGGACCCTGAAGTGGGCTACGGCTAAATGCTGACGATACAAACTACTTTCCTGCTCGAGACAGGCTAAATAACGCGGTTCTCTCTCAGGCTCCGCGTCAAACAGCGGCCACGTGAACTCGAACTGTTGGAAAATCAAACAGATTATTTTTTTTACGCAGACTTGTCTGTGGGTCGATGAATGGTCATAAACCTGAGAGACTCGCTTCCAGGACATACCCCGCTCCCACTCTACCCCCTTCCCCACAGGCAGATGCATGGTTTCAACTCTTACCGTCTCCTCCTCGTCGATGTCGATTTTAAACGTCAGCTGCTGGAGGGTTTTCAAAGTTATCAACATCTTGACCACCGATGTTTTATCCCCGCGCCTGGTTTCAACGTTGTGGGTCCAACTTGCAGGAGTCTTGAGTGTTTTTGTTGGCTCATTACAAACTGTCAGCCGCCATGACTTCACGTTTTTCTTCTTCTGCGTGTAGGTCGCTCAGGCTACAGCGCCCTCGCCGGTCCACTTCAGCATCGCATCACATGCCACACAGGAGAGGAGAGTTTATTTATTCAGTTTTTATAAATTCAATCACTGTTGCGTTAACATTGTGAATACTTTTTCAGTGTGCTTTGCATACGGTTGACTGTTTATTATTCTTTAGCAATGCGTCATATTTCATGTGCTGATCCTATATTTTGTGCTCATCTGCAAATTAAATACTAGATTTTAGAGGATGCAAGAAGTAGCAGATACGAAAAAACCCAAATAATGTGTAGTGCAGTATTTGTGTAAATAATAAGAATAAGAGCCATAAGAATAGTATAATTTCTAAATCCACATTACATAAATCAAATGCTTTACAATGGCAGCAAAATAAAATTACCAATTTACTTTCCACCATTGTTTTGATTTCACAGTGATTAATAAAATGTACTTTTAATGTAAGATTTACTCATTTTAATGTGATTTTAATGTGTAACTTATATATATATTAATTATTGGCTTTTATCAGCTCTTTCAGTTTTTTAAACTGTGTATCTCTTTCTATAGCATTGTTAAAATTGCTATGAAAATCAAATGCATAATAATAATAAGTATATATAATAATATTATTATTGATAATAATAATAATAAAAATAATAATCACTGTAACCAACCGACTCAGGAACACACTCTGCCCTGAAGCAGACTCCAATTCAGCTGAAGACATCACAGAGCAACAACCATGCAAGTCAGTGCACTGCGGTACCTTCAGTGTGGGTGTTAGGAATTATTTGACAAATCTGACATCTGGATGCTGCTGAGACTGTTACAGTTTATGAGTCTATTCATCTTTTTCTCCCTTTGCCTTACCCTGTCCTTCCGCCTGTGTGTGTGTGTGTGTGTGTGTGTGTCATCCAGTTATTACGTTGTGAGCAGTGCCCTTGCCTGCCTCAGCCTGAGCACACACTCACCAGGCGTTCCTTATGTGGCTTCACTGAGCAGCAGTAGCAGCAGCAGTGTCCTTCTTTCCCCTTTCCCCACCGGTGGCTGTGCCTCTTGCTCCCGTCTCCAGGGGTCGTCAGTCTGCCATCGGCCCCCACTGAAGTGGTGAGCCACAGAGATTATAGTCTGCTCTCAGGTGACCTGGAGATATTTTTAAGTGATGATGTTATGTAAAATAAAGACTTAGACCCTTCTAAAATAGGCTGGAGGAGGAGGATAAGAAGAAGTGTAGAGAACGTGTGTATGAGACGTTCAACAGGAAGACACCAGAGAGAGAGACCACCCCAAGGGCTGCTTTTATCTTTTTTTAGTGATGCAGTTAGCAAAACAAAGGAGCAGTGACACATGGAAGCATAGCTGACCTAAATGACTTGTGGTATGTAGGGTACAAGAACCTCAGCACTTCATGCATGTACACAAAACACACACTCACCACTGCCATTTGCAGGCTTTGTGGTTTTGGTCAGCAGAACTCTTGCAGGGTGTGTAGTGGAGTAGAGAGAAAGACATAAGGGTGTAACAGAGTGAAGGCCACTGAGATGCCTTCTCAGCCCCAGAGCTATTTCCTGTGGATGAGCTGCCGGCGCTATTATTGGTTGCTTCAAGGTCTCTGTGGAAATGTTGCAAAGAAAATCGTTTATGTCACAGGGAATTGGAAACATGTTGCACGAAAGCTAGAATGGATAACCATGCATGATTAAACCAGTCACTCAATATCACCAGCACATATCACAAAGAACGGTTTCTATGTAGCAAGATTCTAGAGCCATACATGGTTATACTGTTCTGTTCTGGTGAGGCCTTCAGCTGAATACTAACATGTGAATACTGCAGATAAAATACTTCATTGATCTGAACTACTCATACTTGTGATCATTTATGACAGAAGCTATGAAGGTTGAACAATAAGTGTAGTTGCATTTTCCTCAGTAGTTCATTTGGTATCACTTAACCCTGAAAACATATATATGACTTATTTTTATTTTACTATTCAGAAAGCATATAATTCACAGATTTCAAGGGTAGTTTATTGGGAAGTGACATGAGTCATAAAGGATACCAACTCTCTAAAATCTATGTACATTTACGTATGTAGTTCCAGTTCCCTGCCCTTTTCAGTAGCCAACTTCTCATTTGGTTGCCCTGGTTCCCCAACAACAGATGCAGACATGGTTGACCTGGGCGACGTCAGACAGGAGGACTCTCCTATTTGCTGTTACACTCAAAGTTTAAGGGCCTTGCAATGCAGGAATCTAATTCCGGCCTCATGCACCTCATGCACCAGAGAATGTAATGATATCCCAACCCAGTCTCATCTCAAAACGTGTTGTAGCTACATTGGTACACTAGACAAATATTGTAATCTCCCAATCTGGCCTCTCGTTGGGTTGGTTATCCACTGAGAAAACTTTATGGCTAACCAGTGGTGGTCAACATGGCAGAAGAGGTCAGTGGTGTTGAGATGTAGCGATCCCAAGCAACAGCACATCAAGCAACATAAGAAGCTTGAAAGATACCTCAGGCCTAAAGAGGAGCTAGATGTGCCAAGTGAAGGCAATAGTGGTGTGTTTGGTAGTGGGAGCACTCGAGCTCGAACCCCCGAACTGGGAGAGAGGCTCCAGCAGACTCCAGGAACAAGAGCTGAGATCTGTGTTCAGAAGAACAATGATACTGAGCAGAACCCTCAGGCTCCCAAGCTTCTGGTAGAAGAAACACAAGACCGGCCACATGGGAAGAGTGGGGGATTGAATATTTAAATTGTGACATAAAGTAGCACACAATCACAATCCAATCAACCATTATCTGATAACTTTATTATCAAGTTAAAAAAAGACAATGAATTACAATATTTACAGAATATCCAGAGATAAATGGAATAAAATTGTAAACAATCATTCTAGGCAACATCACAACCCACCATCAGGTAATCAGATTTATATGGGAAGAAAGGCAAGAAGGAGAGATTCTAGTGTCAAACTATGGAGACAACAGTCTGAAAAGAGAAATGCATCAGAAAGAAACTAAACATATATACAAGTATCCAGTGTGTTGTCAGCAGGGGTTTAACTTAAACTGGGGGGTATTACAGTCTATGGACTGCACACAGTGAGGGATTCATAGCCATGTTCTATTAAAATGATCACAGAACGACAAATAATTTTGGGATGACAGCTTCATTACCCAGATTGCACCAGTTTATCGTCTGGTTAACGCCGGGTTTTCAAGCTGCCGTACAAAGCTTATTACTACCACAACAGTTTCAAACAGTTTTACTTTCAAAGAGCTACAAGCTGGTCCTGTAAAGAAAGGGTCTTTGAGATTCAGCACCAACTGAACTGGTTTTCAGGTAACAAACAGGACTGAGGAGCAGAATGTGGCGGCTACACTCCCTCTTTTTGTTGACTGGGTAGACTTAAGGGTAGGCCTCCTTTGAACGAGCTGATGCCCTCACAGGCCGCGGATAAAAGAGACTGGAGTGCAAGATTTGAGATTAGACATGAGTACTCTAGATTTCAGAGGGATCTATAGGTCCGCTGTCGACTCAGATGTTGGCCGAGCACAGAAAAAGTCCAAGCAGTTGAAGAAAATGCTCCCAGAGGAACTCATTTTTTCCTTGTCTCTTACATCGCCATGCATTTCTTTTTCAAAATAAAAGCCCTGGCCATTAATCTTCAGAGAACTGCATCATTTTCCTTCATGTGTTTAAATATCGTACAACCACACTGCTCTTCCCATCTACTCATTCCCATTACAGTACAAAAAAGGAGATATTTTTCATTGTAACCAGACATTGTACAACAGTGTAATAATGTTGGATTGGGGACTCAAAAAGCCCCGGAGGGTTATCTATCATCTTTAAGATTTCTTTTTTTTTCTCTTTTTTAAAAGCAAGAACACCTAAAGGAAAAAAGGGTTTAAGTATCCTTTCTGAAACACCACAGTTCAAACACTTAACGAGTAGTTTTTGTTTTTCTATACATGGCTGCAAACATGTAGTTTACCTGGGTTCCAAGCATAGAACTCTAATTCTAAAACTCTATGGCCCAAACCCAGATTTCCCATTTCCATCTAATGCTCAGGAAAGACAATCACAGCAGCAAACACAGCAGGCTTGGAAAATATTTTGGTAACAAGAACACGACTAGATCAACCGTGTTCCTCTACAAATTTTAGGCTATCTGTCATTTAAACGTTGCTTATTGGTCATATTGGAATTGGGTATGAATTTGACTTAATTGCTCTTCACTTCTTATAAGGCTTATGGGCGTTCAAGCAGCAAATTCCAGCAAATACAATCTCTGCCTTTTGACAATATTCACACTAACATGATGACTTTTGTCTAAAAAGAAGCGCACAAGAATGCAGGCTGTGACACTTGTGTCAATACAGGGTGGGAATCTAAAAGGGGCTTACGTTTGGGAGATTTGACACCTTTAGAAAAGTCAATCTTCAACAGAGTGTCCAAGTGGCATATAAACTGAATATATATGGAAACAAATGGTTTTATTGGCCTTTTGACAGGGTCAGACTTGTCTTTTCAGTGTAACCTCTCATGAATGAATGAAAAACGTGACCATGTCTGCAGCGTCAGCCATTACTTTGTGGAGGGCTGACTGTGGAAGCAAACATGGCTATAAACATCAACTCATTGTAACATGGATTTTCATTTGTGGTGCTTGCATCATCAAACAAACAAGCATACAAAGACACTTTAAAAAGTGCACCTTTCCTTAATTCATCAGGACCTAATTTGATCAAAGAGAGTTCCAATAAAAGCCAATACATTTTAAAATTATTTGAGTATAACAAATTAAATTCTATTCACTTCCACTGGCATTTAATTTTCCACCATCCGTTATCTTCGCTATTTATTCTTTTGAGGGCGGAGGGGAACTCGAGCCAATCTCAGCTGACATTGGGTGAGAGGTGGGGTTCACCCTGGACAGGTCACCAGCTAGTACAGGGTCAATGTACAGAGACAAATAACCGTTCACACCCACAGTCAATTTAAAGTCTCCAATTCACTTAAGATGCATGTTTTTGGAAAGTGGGAGAAAGCAGGTGTACCTGGGCAAAATCTTGACACAGAGAGGCTACAGCCAGGCTGGGATTCAAAACCTCCATGTTGTGAGGTGCCAGTGCAAACCACAGTACCACCATGCTGGTTATTTACCACTAGATGTACATAGATTATAAAATATGTTTCTGCTCTGATTTGAGTAAATTTAACACCACATTTTGTTGATACAATTAAGTCTGAGCTAATTGATCTGAAGTGATCTTTATTTAATAATTACTCCACATAGGTTGAGTGAAACCAGCTGTTGAGGCCATAAATTCTTGTTGGTATAAATCTTGAAATATAAGTTGGGTATTTTCCTAATTACCTGACAACAGTCAGTTTTTTTAAAGGTTCAGTGTGTAATATTTAGGAGAAAGGGATCTATTGGCACAAATTGAATATAAATCCTCATGATGTTTTCACTAGTGTTTTTCATCTAAATTGTATAAATTGTTGTTTTTTTTACCCTGGAAGGGCCCTTTATATTTAAATACTTTATATTTACATCGAGGGGGTCATCTCTATGGAGGCCGCCATGTTTTTAACAGTAGTCCAGACAGGACAAACTAAACACCTTTTGAGTTTTTATGAAAACTGACACAGGTTCTCTTTCACGTTTAGAAGTGGAGGGTGAGGTGAGGGGCATTCAGCTGCAACATGCAAATTCCCAACTAGATGTCACTAAATTCTACACACTGAACCTTTAAAAGTGTGCGGATAAACTGGATGAACCAGATTCTGGCACATCCCATCACATCCAGCAATTTGCACTGAAAAGACAAGGCTAATCTCTGTCTCTTGGTCAAGATGCCACTACTGTTAAAACCTGTGTTTATGTTCCAGGATACCTCATAACAGATAGCTCATATGGTTGCAGTCATGAGACAAGATCTGCATATTGTCATATCTGGTAACCTGGATCACAAACAACATGGTATTGAACAAGGAAAACTAAATTTTTAAGTATTACCAGTATTTCCAAGATTTCTTTTTAAGTGAAATTACTAGACAAAAAAATAGGTGCCACAGGCTGAAGGCTTATACGCAGTATAATATTAAGGGACCTAAAATATAGCAATTTGCTACAAACATCAGGGGAAAGTGTCGGTATTTTTACGAATGAATAAAGCATTTTGCTAAAATAGATAAGGTGCGACTCTTCCTCAAGGAATACTTCTAAACATTTAACACAAGGCTAAGATGAAAAGTTTAAAATTTTCAACCACAAACAAAGACAGTGGGGCCACGGCTGTAAATGCTTTCATTGTCTTGTTTGCTTCTAGGTTAATTTACAGTAACCCTGTTTTGGATGGGCAGGGGGAGTGTAAAAGGTGCGTTCAATAATAAAATGCTTAAATTTAGTTCAATCATTTTTGACAAAGTTATTTATAAATAGCTTGATTTTTATCTAGGTGGGATCGTTCACTGTAGATTTGACCAGAATGTCAGCAATAAAGAGTTCTGTTCACTATTGGTTACCAATATATTAAGATCTGTCCTAGGGGACCGCTCATTTAAAGAGCTCAGTCATTTTAATGCAGCACAACCTAATACTTATATATGTAACGTCTAAAATCTAATAATGTTCCAACTCATAAGAAGTCACTTTTTTTCCATTTCAATCTTTTTTTGTTTCCTCAGTGTTGATCCTACCCAACGTTATCATTTTCTAGAACAATATCCCAAGAGGCCAAAGTCTGTTCAAGCAAACTGCTGATCCTTTTTGGTGTCAAGCATTTCATTGTCCTCCATAAACAGGCTTTGACTTCTCAGTGATAGATCACCAGGGTTTCCTTCCTCTGTTCTGTTGTCGGAAAGGTCCAGTCCTGTGTCCATTAGGACAGAGGAGCCAGTGGAAGATGAAGCGGAGGCCTCTATTGCTGAGGTGGCGCTGGTGTCCATCTGACTGTTAACCGTCCTAAAAATACATGGAGCAAAAATAAGTTTGTTTAGCTCACTTAAACATCAATGAAAGAGGAAGGAGGACATTAGTGCTGCCAAAAGTGAAGCCAAATCATCTGGATCGCCCCCTATGGCTGGCTGCAATAAATATAGATATATACAGGCAGTACGAATTTGCCTACTTCATGTTAGCAGATGGAACATGGACAAAACTAAAAAGATACATGCCAAAAAAAGTTTGGAGCAGATGGTTTCTATTGCGCAGACTTCATATGATGTCACCAGTGCAAGATGGCAGCACCCACATCCAAGGATTTTGTACAGTGGGAGGCAGTAGACATGATCAGCAGCTATGATCGTTACTAGTACCAAGCTCGAGACACAGTGGTGCTTTAAACTAAATGTTAAAGCGACCATGCCAACATAGTCACGATGTATAGCACTAAAAACAAAGCACAGCTTAAAACTGATAGAAAGAGGCTGGTTTAGCAGATATTTGGACAAATTAAAAACTTGACCCAAAGTTATCAAATTTCAAACACCTGTTCAATCCAACACACAGCTCTCACCCAACAGAGTAGAGAGAAAGAGAAAAAGAAAAGAGGAAAAATACTAACATGCCGTGTCGAAGGACGTGTCGTTCCCACTCGAGGCTGTTGGTGAAGCAGCGGCCACAGAACTCGCAGGGAAGACGCTTCTCTACACCGCTCGGCCCACTGCTGCTGGTGCTGCAGCTGCTGGAGGGAGATGCAAGGACCTCTGGGAAACAGAATTCGAATGATTGGTTAGTCTCATGTTTATTTCCTATCTGTACAGTACGAGATGAGAATAATTTACTTTAATCTAGCGTGAAAACAGGCCAGAGCAATGAAATAAAAAAAGGAAACTGAGAGGATGGAGGAAGCATGGCATATGACCTATACTGTAGCCAGCCACCAGGGTGTCGTCTAGACGCTTTGGGTTCACTCTTGGTGAGCCATCATGTCGTCCATCTTTCATCAGTGACGTTGGTCCACGTTTTACTTTGTTGTTTCAGATTCTTTTTTCTCAAATAAAATAATATCACTTTGTTTACAGAAGTTTCCTGGAAATGATCCGAGTGAATGAGTGAATAATAAGTGAAATAATATCTATAGAAGATTTGTGTTCAGCCAACACAACAGTACTTCATTGATTGTCTCATGTATTTACCTTGTAGGCCAGTCCTTTCTTCCTCCACCCCCTTAATGTCCTCTTCCTCCTCCTCCTCCTCCTCTTCCTCTTTGATGTTGTCCTCCATCTCGTCATCATCCATCACTCTCTGCTCAGCCATTAAGTTTTCCATGATTTCCAATCTTTCGTCATCGTCCAGCTCATCCTCCTCCTCCTCTGCAGCTAAGTCTCCGTCCATGACCATCTGCATCATATCTCTCTCCTCTTCCTCCTCCGCGCTGCTCCCTTGTTCCTTTATCATCTCCAGCTGGTCCAGGTTGACGCGACCCATCAGCTCGAAGTTGCGGATAACCTGGTCAGAAACAGGAAGTCATTTATCAGTTTGGTGCAGTGTGATTTGAGCCACGTTCGTCTTTGAGAACTCGCGTTCAATTATTTTGGCAAATTTTTCTTTTCTAATGAAGCTTGTTGAAGAATTTAAAATAATTAAAATTTAAATGGTCTGTATATATACAGTGCTTTTCCGGTCTTGTCGATAACAAATCGCTTCACAGAACAAGTCGGATTAACCCATTCACTCACACACATTCATAGAGTGCTTCTATAAGCAGGAATTCCTCTATCATATACAGTACCATTCTAACACTGTCAACACACCCTAGGGCTCAGAAGACTCTGGGATCAATCCACCGACCCTCCATGTGACCCTGTGTAACAATTACCAGAGAAACTGAAAAATCATATCCTGATTTGTTTAAAACTATGATAAATTCATAAACTAATTTATGCAGATTTTTTAAAACTGGGTAGAGACACTTTTGTTTGTTTCTCTCTGGTTGTCTGGTTCTTTATACATGAACTGTGTTTCTCCTATCAGCTTTATACCTTATTTAAATTAGATTTAATGTTAAAGCCATAGTAAATAATAAGTGAATGTTAGAAGCAGATTTTTCAACAGTAACTTTATATTCTGAGGCAAAGAAACGGCATTAAAAGTTTTTGGATTCTTATTTTCGTCCAAACTACCAAAAGAACCAAGTCAGCAGTCTGTTGGATGAGAGGGTCAGTCTCTTGTCACCAGTCAAAACTTTCCCGGTGAAAAAAAGTTTTGGCATTTTGCCTTCAATAAAATATATTTTGTACCTAATTTGCAAGAATTTAAAAAGTTAAAATCTCTCAAACAAGATGTGTAACCGTATATTTAGGTGATGAACTGAAATTATTAACACCAACATGGATGGATGTTTAAATACATATCTTGTCAATAAATCATAACAACTCTCCCGCCATGAATAATCTCTTTCTCTCTGTCTCCATCAGTTCTTTTTAAAAGCATATACTCAGACTCCCAGGGTCCACATCAGCCATTTAAGTGTCCACGATGAAACCATACATTCATCATTTTCCAATGGCAAGAAAATAAAAGGATTTTACAGCTTGGTATGCAATTAAAACTTAAAATTTGCTGAATGGCTGTAGAAGTTGTTAAATGATTGCTGTGTGTATGGATGATGAATGATTCAAGGCTTATAAATTATGGCCTGGCTACTTGAAGTTAACGGTCATGCTCAAGGCCGCTTAGAAATATCTACGGGCTGCTGCTGTTTGACCTTCATCTACCAAACATCTTTACAAAATGATGATATCAATGAGGACGGTGCTGAAAACCGTATTTGAAAGTGTCAAGCTAAATATAATAAGAAGGATTTCGGGAATGCATTAGTACAAGATCCTTTTTTCCCCTTTGTCCGTCCCTTCTCCTCTTTTTATTACAATCTCTATCTATTTTGCAAAGCTCTCGCCCTCTGAAGTCTTTTCTCTCCTGGATGGGATGAGGATATACTGATGCTTGAACAATCTGATATGTATCCACCCACTCATCTTATTCTGTTGTATCACTTTACTGATATTTTGTTATCTCTCGAGGTGCAGCACAGAGGTCAATTTTGGACTTATTGGTTTGTGTGTCTTGAAGATGGACAGAAGTTTAATGTAAAAGTAAGATGGGGGAAGAGCAGAGGTGTTATGTGGGTCAAATTAAATATGGTGTAAAGTTTATATCCTTTCATTCTTGTGACTGACTTTATGGTCCATTGTAATTGGATACTTCTAATGATTTCCCTTCTAATAAAGTTTTATGACACATGCTAAAAAAACAAATACCACACACACACACACACACAAAATGTTAGCAGCAATAAAACCATTAACAGTGTTTTCTCTGATTAAATTGAAAGCTCTCTGATTAGGATGTTAATGTGGAGGTGGTGTTACTGGGTGTATCTTATTTACATTTCACTGATATCAAACTACTTCAAAGAAAATGATATAATGGAGGATGAGGTTTCATTTTTTTAAAGTGATCAGTTCCACACATGATTAGACAAAGACTGTTTTCAGACATGAACTCCGGTAAATTGACAATACCGTTTCTGGAGTTTCACTTATGAAGAACTCAGCAGGAGACTGTTTGGGTCTGACACGCTCACAACAACAGGAAGTAGTTGTGCAAATAAACCCTACAAACATATTATATAATATATAACACGTATTTGTCTGCATTCTATGGCATCAGCTCAAAAAGTGACTATAAACACTTTTGGATCTTCTATCCATGTAGGTTTGTTGGCCACAGACGAAACTCTGACTATGTTATTAAATGATGTCTGCGTCTTTGATTCAAGCAAAGGCTGTATATGAAGATGGACGACATGACAAAGTGTCTTGATCGCCACCTGGTGGCTGGCTGCAGTATAGATCATAAACTTCACCTCCACCATGTAAGTGGGTGGGACATTGACCACAGTAAAAAGTCAAAGTGCATGTCAAACAAATGATAGTGTTTGGTTTTAATTACTTATTTAAAACACCATGATTGGCAGCTGAGACTTCTGACTCCCGATCGGTCGAGCGCCTGCATCAACGGGACCTCGTTATAGTGACTCCACCCCCATTCCTGCGCGGACCTCGGCTCAAAATTTACAAGATGACGGCGTTCGTATCCAGGATATTTTGGCTTCGACATGTCGTCCATCTGTATTTACAGTCTATGTACTTAAAGTACATCTTTAAATCTACAGTTCAGCAGCTGATTACTGAGGATTTGTTTGATTTAGGGGTTTCACGTTGGATTAGCTGTATTATGTGATCGTCAACACAGGGGAAATACGGACAGATGACTGGTGCAGGCTTCATTATTACCTCACATTAAAAAAGCAAAGGTCATATAGGATTAATTGAACAGTTTGAAGCTACAGAGTGCATAAGCTGTAAACAACTGGTGTTACAGCCATTAAACACACTGATGATTAAAACCCATTCTTATCAGTAAACCGCTGACTCTGACAGTGATAAGCCCCAAAGTCTTTCATCTGTAAAATGAGGACACCGTTCGTAATGGCCACATTCCTCCTACTTCCTACTTTTACATTGGGTATAGGAATTCAAACTTAGTTCCAGAAAACTTCATGTGCATCATATCGGACTCCAGCTGACCTTATGTTCGAGGCGGAGATGCTCCTCTAGCTGACTCCGTCGACTGCTGTCATAGTAGCAGAGCTGGCACTGGTAAGGCTTGATCTCAGCGTGCTTCTGTAGGTGCAGCTGCAAGGCCTGGTCACTGGAGCATGTGAAGGTGCATTTGTGGCAGCGGAACACAAGGCCCTGGAGATGGCGCGACAGCTTGGAGCGGCTGACCTCCAGTGGAGCCACGCGCTCCTCTGGTGGAGGAAGAGGAGAAGATGCGTTGTGGATTATTAGTTCGGAGGAAATGGAAAGAGGGGAATAATGGCGGAGCGAAGAACAGTAATGACAATAGAAAAAAAGAGATGTTGGGACACAGGAGAGAAGTCAAATATCATTTGTCACATACGCAGAAAAAGTGATCCCAGTGGCTGTGGCTTTTGTCATTTTATCAATTTCAACCCCAAAACTTCTAAGGTAAGAAGACAGTGTCACAAAAAACTACCCAAGCTAAAAATAATGTTTTCTTCAACTTATCGGAGCTCAGTTTCTGAGAATCTTCTCATCTGACTCCTTTAATAGAAATTCTAAAATGTCCAACCATTTCCTTCATTGATACGTGTGACTCGTACCTCTGTGCAGGACGATGTGGTCGATCATATTGCTCGTGTGTTTGGTGTGGTAGAGGCAGAGAGGGCAGCGCAGGTCTTTGGGGATGTCTTCAGGTGCGTTGTTGTTGTGTCCAGCCTCTACGTGCATGGTGAAGTTATTCCTGAGATAGAAAGACGGAGGGGTCTGGTGTTTTGACATGTGCGAATATTCTTGGAAAAGATTGTGCATAGTTTGTAAGCTTTAGTTATCAGCGTCTGTATTTTCATAAATACTGTTTTCCTTGTTTCCCTCCTTCCTTACTTGTTGCAGGTGAAGAACGAACAGTCTTTGCACTTGAAGAGCTTCTTGCCGCCGTGACGGTCCCTGTAGTGCCGGCGAAGGCTCTGCATGTATCCGGAGCTGAACTCGCAGAACTCACAAGTGAGGATGCCGTCTGGTCGATTGTCTGCCACTGTTGATCCACCAGGTGTTGAGCCAGAGGACATGTGACTGCGGGAGGCCAGCTGGTAATGACTCAGCTGCTGACGAACATCAGCCGGCTCCAGGTAGGATGGATCTGAGAGAGGGACGGAGAGATAAAGTGTTGTTTATTATACTGTAACATACATGTGGACTCTGTTGTGACCTAAAAAGAGGCCTGAGGTATGCGGCATTCTCATTTTATGTATCGATTCAGTTTATGAGAGATTATTTCCTGAAAAAATAAAATGCACATTCTTAATACTTCATAAAACGCTATCAGCAGACAGCAGAGGATCTTTTTATTTCCAGAGGAGACTTGATTTTCCAGACGAGTTGCATTCACACCCAGTGTCTCCTCCCCACCTCCCAGACACTGAAGTGTAAATGTGACTGTCATCATTCGCCCCCACCTTTTCCCTTCTCCTCCTCCTCCTCCTCCTCTCATGTGTCTATAATATCAGCACACCAGCTCATCTTCTCGTCCTACTTTGAGCCTCCAACACATCAATAAATAAAGCACAGTGACACTAATAGAAGTGTGTCATGTGAAAAATGCCTCATTCAGCACTCACAGGATGAGGAAACATTGAGGGGGGAAAAATATATTTTTTAACTTTTACTTGCTTGAGATTTTAATTTGTCACTTTTGCAGTGGAAGCAGAGGAAGTCATAGGAATCCAACAATGGAACAGTTGACTCATGGTTTTAATATCCCCTTCATTGAGGAACTGAAATGGCAGCCAGAAAGCAAATTTTGTAGTTTTATAATGATGTGACTGCTTGAATTAAGTAATGTTTATTTTCCAAATTTCATGAGGAATTGAAGACAGAGGAGGAGGAGAATCAAATCGAAGCAGTATTAAAATTAGGAAGTGATTTTAAAGAACTAGGGGTTGTCATCTGTCATCTGTCAGTGGCCAGACGCAATATATTTTCTGTTTGTCCCCTAATCAGTGTCCTTCTTGTAAACACAAAATCGTAAGAACTCCTTTGAGGGAATTTCTTCAAATTTGGTATAAACATTCAGTCGAACTAAAGGATGAATTGATTAAAACATCAAGGGCAATGTGTTCCTCACAAAACACATTTCTTTGCCTTGTGAACACAATATCTCTCGAACACCACCAGGGATTCCTTTCTAATTTGGTAGCTGGACTCAAAGATGAACGGTTGGAATTTAGTGGTCGAAGGTCAAGGTCACGGTGACCTCACATAAACCTTTATTGCCTCGTGGTCATGTTATCTCAAGAATGCTTTGAAAAATCTTTCTTAATTTGGCATCAACAGTTACTTAGACTCGCGGAGTCGTCAAAGGTGTAAGGAGAAGAGGCCAAACATGTTTTTGGCCTCTTGAAAAATGAAATCTCAAGTCTACCTTGAGAAAATGTCTTCAAACTTTGTCCACTTGTCACTTTGACTCAAAGATCAAGTGATTACATTTCAGAGGCCAAAGGTCAACGGTCACATTGGCCTCATATAAGACTGGAAAACTTTGGTTGGTACAGGCTAACAACCACGTGGCGGTAATTCTAGTTATTATTTTAATAGTTTGGGGGAGAATCGGTAAATGATAAAACCAACTGCAGTGACTATATTCAAACCAGCTTCAAGAAGTTAAAGTTAAATCCCTAGTGATGAGAAGCAATTTAAATGCTAATCCTCACTAAACACATTCCACTGCAAACATCTGAATTTCAGACATTCAACTGAAGGTAGCGACTGTGGCGTGGTGGAGAGACATTCACTATGTCAGCTCTGCTCTCTCTCAATGCTTCATTTGTCTTTGGTGAGGCACAGCTGACAGTGGTGGTTGGTGCATTGAGGAATGTTGCCCTGCTCCAGCTCCAGGGAAGATTCCACAGCTCCAGCAGCAAGGTAACAGCTGCTGCCAAGAACAGTCTGGGAGCTAAAGCAGCGGCTGCACACACACTGAAACATGGCATCACATCACATCGCTGTAGCTGCTACACCAACCTACAGTGAAGCTGCCTCCTTAACTCAACATAGTCTGTGAAGAAACACCTCATAATCAACATTAAAGGCTTAGGCAGCAGAATCTGAGACTGCTACATTCTCACACTCAGTAATTTATTCAATCTGTGCACACAACTGTCTTTCAGAGGCTGTGAATAAGACATTATAATATAACTATATGTGTGTTATATTAATAGCATAAAATGTGTATATATATGTATATAAAGTATATATATATATATGTGCACAAATGCACAACTTTCATTATTTGCTGGGGTTCCACATTCTGATATTTATCTGAAATGACAAAAATCATAGAAAAGTAAATATTGGTGGATGCTGTTGCTCCCATTTTATCTTTCTCGTTGTCTTACTTTGATTTGGGGGAGAGTCATGCCCTGCTACTGCGGTTTCCATAAATGTAAACTAATTTATGGATTTAATTTGTGATGGACCTCAGATCATTGCACTGAATCGCAGACTGTGTGCATCATGTCTGTGTGATGTGGCTTTGAGAACAAGTAGGTCAAGTAGGTTTTAAAGTAACTTCATTTCACCTCACACAGTTTACTTTTCCTACACTGGATTCTGCTGCAATACTCGAATTAGATTTCAAAGAATTTGGCCTGATGAGTCTATCATATGACATTACATCTAAAATATATTACACATGATCTCATACCATCTGAGGCCAGTGGAGTCTGCTCTGTGGAACTGGCCAGCCGGGAGGCCCTCAGGGTGGGATGAGCAGCCTGGGTAGCAGCCCTCAGTTTGGGGAGGGTCAGGGCCTCGCCGTGGTCTGTCAGAGAGTGCTCCTTCAGATGACTGATGGTCATGGAGGAGAAGGGGCACGACAGGCATTTGTATGTGTGCTGCTCGCCTGGAAGATCAACAAGAGTCGCAAGTCAACGAAAAGATTAAAGGATTAAAGAAATCTATAAAGCGTTGATACTGAGGACTATACATGATAATAATAAACACAAAAGTTTTCTGTCATTTTAGCTGAGGACCGAGTTCACATAAAGTCTGAATGTGTGTGATTTTAAATATTTTCTGAGTGATTCCTATGTTTTCTTTATGAAAACCGTACAACAAAGAAATGTAATTGAAGCTTGACATTTTGCAGTTTAACCATAAACTTCATGATAAATAATTATAAATAATATCTGCAAATATAAACACTAATGTTTGTGAAAGGCTCATATCAGATAATATTATCAGCCAACCTATATTAGTTGATTTTGTATTTTCCAACAAAACTCAACAGCACAGAAAGTTTTTTTTAGTTTAAGTTTGTAAGGCTCTGAATCTAGGTTGCTGTTGTTGAGAGATCTGACACAAAGACTTAAATTAAGTTTCGTGCAGGTTGGTGAGGACACAGGACATTATTATTATTATTATTATGCTGCTTCACTGTATGACTGTGCTCCAACTGTTTTGCCTCATATGTTTGTGTATGTCTTTGCTAGAAATTTGAATTTTACAGCATCCTGCCTGATGTTTCTGCGGAATGTTCGCTCACCACATCTGATTGTAACATGTTATTGTCCAGAAGTGGTTTTAATAAGCTTCTCATTTGTTGTCTAGTGAAAACAAACTGTTTGGCAGCTGCTGGACGTGGACAATTCTGAGGAAAATTGTTCTTTAGTTTAGCTGGAACTACGAGCAACTCCAATTTTCCAATGTTATTGCAGCTAAAAATTGGTATGTGTCAATTTTCCATAGCAGCTGTAAAACTCTACCGCTGCTTCTTGTTCTTTCACGTGCAGACAGTTGAGAGCACTCAAACGGCGATAGAAATTGGTCTTTCTAGTTTGCCTTGTTCCTTTTGCTTGTGTATTGATCACTCAGGTGCAGCTTTATCTTTTTTGCATTTCTTGAATGTCTTTGGATCAATGTTGCCGTCTGGCTCGCTCTAAAAGAAGAACCACCTGTGACTGAAGACACCTGCATGGCGCATGCTGACGTTTTCTCCTCATATTCCCAGACAAACAACATTAGCAATAGACTCATCTGTGGCCTGTTTGTGCAAAATGTTTTGAATCTGAATTTGATTCCTTTGGGTGCACTTAATTAGGTGTCTAATGTACTCAGTGAATGCAGTGAAGCTGCTCCTCAAGCTAATCCACTGGTTGTATTGTGCTGGAGAAGCTAGATCAAGCACAGCGTTGTTATGTGGAAGTTGATGAACTGGAGGCTGCTATTCTTGCCCTGGAATACTTTGTTAGTCGTGGACACAGCTGTAAGGTGTGATTTAACATATGTATATGTGTGTGTGTGTGTGTGTGTGTGTGTGTGTGTGTGTGTGTTTACCTGTGTGTGTCTTATGCAGGTGGCTTTTCAATCGACTCACGTAGGCAGATTTAAAGGGGCAGAGTTTGCACTTGAAGGGCTTGTGGTGCCCGTGGTGAGACTGCACATGTCTGTCCAGACTGAAAAAAGAGGAGGATACGAGATAAGAGGATGAAACCAAAAGAAAATAAATGAAATGAGGACAAAGGGATAACAGACAGAGACAAAGTGATAAGAATAGGGTACAGGAGGGAAGGAGGGAGCTCTACTCCACAGCATCCACTTTGATGATTTTCAACAGCATTTGTTTTCTACAGATTCTGAAGCTCTTCATTCTGTTTGGCTCACAAACAACAGCTGCACATTTCCAATGACGACTGAACAAGGGAGCCATGGGGTGAACTCATCTACCCAGCAATCCCCTGGTGGGAATGAGTGTGCAAGTGCCTGTGGGGACGGTGGCTGTGTTTTTTTAATGCTGGGCCTCCTAGGTGGCATGGGAATGCAGCTCCTTTCTGGGTCAGGGCAGTACAGTACAGAGGGATTACACCTGGGAGCGCAAAGGTGATGAGGACTCTTTCTTTTTTATTGCTCTGAGTCTGTGAGATGGATAAAACAAATCATGCTTCCAAAATGTCTTCTAATGTTTGTCTTGCTCTCCTCGGAGGCAGGAAATCTTCAAGGAGATTAGAGAAGCGAATGCAACGGGGTAAACAGAACAAGGTGTAAAACTGCAGAATGATTCCAACATCCAGTCGAGCTGAAGAAAAGATTGCATAAGGTACACAATGGTATTAGTATATAGTACTTATACCTATGCACATATTGTAAGAGCGTTGGTATATAGATCCATCACTATAGAAAAATGTAGTTTATGTATGGCTTTGTGGTACCAATACATTACATTAGAAATCTGGATATAAATCAGACACATCATCAGCTTCAAATGTACAATAATAAAAGAGTTTGTTTACACTGTTACGCAGCGTGGGATCATGGGAGTTGTTGTTTTTTTACCACCATTGCTTCGATGCAAATCATGTTCAGGGATGAGGTGATTTCAACACTGTTTGTTAAATGATTTTCATCAGTGGGTCATTTTTAATTATCTGAGGGAGCAGCCACAGTCCGCTGAGCAGCAGCAGCAGCAGCAGCAGCAGCAGCAGCAGCAGCAGCAGCGGAGAGCTTCTTGTCCAATGAGCAAAAATATTTTTTTTGTAAAAGCAAGAAAAAAGTGTTTGGTTGTCACCAAATCAACCAGGAAAAGAAATCAGAAAGTCAGAACAGATGAATATTCAGTAGAGCATCAAACATATTATTGTGAAATTATTTACTAAATTATAAACAATGGAGATTTACTACTCCTCTCTACTTACTTGTGCCTGAAGGGGGAGACGAACTGGCAGTACTGGCAGCTGTATTTGTCCTCTCTGCTGAACAGTGCCATGGCTGAGTGGCTCCTCTCATGGGACCTCAGTCCCTGCATGGACATGAAGACTCGGTCGCACTGAGCACACGGGTGACCCCCCGCTGTCAACCGCTGCTTCAGTTGGTCCTCAGTCACCACGGCAACGAGGGCCGCAGCGCTTCCTTCAACAGCATCTGTTTCCGGATCAACTGTCTCCGTGGAAATCAAAGGTGGGCTCATCGTTGCAGCCTCGGGTCTCTCGAGGTCATCGGCTTCAGCTGCTTCATCTGCCTCCAGGTCTCCGTTAGTTAGGCTCTCTGTGGGCAGGGTCAGAGGGACCTCAGCGACCTCCTGCTGCAAAACAAAAAGCACAAGTCTCAGTAAGTTTTTCTTTTTCTACATTAACACAAAGAGAAAGATTGTAAGGAGTAAATATGTTATCTGGATAGTAGTACAAAGATGACAAAAATTTCTGTACACTTTATATTACTTTAAGTCTGACACTTTTCATTAGCTCATATGCATCATATTAACAGTGCACAAGCAACATTTAACCTGCAGTATGGTTTTATCTGTACTGTATTGGAAAAGTACTTTTGAGTTAAATATTAGTTAAGCCTCTCTTTTAACAGGACCATTAAATGAAAGACATTTGTCTGAGATACTTGGATGAAGTGTTTCTCGTCCATGAGCAAATAATGAGCGATTCCAGTCCAGAATAGATTAAATAATATAGTTAGCCAACATGACAGTAATTGGCCAGTATTTGCAGATGCACCTCACTTTGATGATAATGATTTGATTGTATTATACAAATGGATGTGGACGAGAAGATTGAAGCTCAACTCTGAATCTGACCAGGAACATTGTACATTATATCTAAATCTACTCTCAGTCACCCAGGTCATGGTATCGAAAAGCCTATTAAAAACAGTCGGTCAGGTTTACCTTCGTTTACCCATGTATATCCGCATATTTTGGTGTGAAAGAGGAATTAACTGAAAGGTGGGTTTATGACTTAAAGGTTTCACACCATGGCTCACCAAAATGACCTGCATGCTTAACATAGCTGTCAAAATAGGGAAGGTCCCACAGAGGTTAAATACCTGAAACCAGTCAGTTGGAACTGAAGAAGCCTCTTGGATGAGAAGTGAAACACAAGCAGAAGCAAAAACTATTCTAGTTGCCCACACATAAATCCCTCAAGCCATCTAACTCTTAATAATATTAATAATAATAATACACCTGTATACCGAACCACAAGCATTTATTCTGAGTGACTAATACAAATTATTTAGCTGCTACACAACAAAAAAAGCTACAGAGCATAACACAATACCTTAATATCTTAAGATTTGCCAACAGCGAGACAAGCCGACTGCTAAACAAAACTCCACCATCACTTCCTGTGTCCATCATGTGCTGGAGTTCAGAGGAGCTCCTGCAGTCGTCCCGAGCAGACAGACGGATCACCCGTGACTTTTTATTGCCCCGAGGAAGATCATTCTTTCTGCAGAGGGACCTGACCCTGCACTTTGCGTAAGCCATAAATAAGATGTGGCATCCACAGACCAAACCTTGCCATCCAGTCTGCCCTGCACCGTGAGCCTGTTCTTTAAAGAGCTCCATCAGAAGGCTTTGCAGAATTCAAACTGTGCTTGTGACGCTATAAAAAGCAACGTTTATTTTAATTCCTCAAATGTGTAGAACATATGATATATATTTATCTGGTGGACATGTTGTATGTGGTCATTATGTCATAAGCCATAACTGCTCACAGGTAACACACACCCTCACAGGGTTACCACCTTTAGCTGCACACCGTAACATTTTATTCAGAAAACCTTAAGTTGACTTTTATTGGCAGATCTCAGTTGCCACAATGAGTTAAGTAAGTCTTCACTCTCAGGGGCCCCAAACATCTCATCTTAAATACATAAAAAAACAGAGTGTCTGACGGAAGGAGCAGGCCTCCTCTGGGGTGAGGCGTTGGATCCTTTGGCTTGTTCCCCTCACTGGCAGCCTCAGCGGAATACTAATGTTCGAATGGTTACCCGCCGCTGCCCTAAAAGTTATGGCTCACCACCCCCTCTGATACTCCGCTGCAATGGGACAGCGTTGCTTGTTTTCTCTGGGGGGAAGCTGACAGACTGTCTACCCAGAAGCCTCTGTCAGTAATAAACAAAATGGGAAACAGAGCCCGAGCTCAGTAAAACACGTCGCTGCAAAGTCTTTCAGAGTGTAAGTGTTAAAACAGGAGTGAATAATAGATACTACACATTTGTTTGATCCTCAAAGAAGCTGCTACATGATTAGGAAAATAATTGCTTCTACATTTTTAGGAAACATGCTTGTTTGCTTTGTTTGTCTGTACGCTAAATGCAGAGGCGCATCTAGGATTTCTCTAAATAAGGGGCCAATCATATGTCCGACATCCGTGCACACTTCTTGATGCAGTAGGTTGCACATTGAGTCATTCCTTGTTTATTGTTTACTGAGTTTTTTTACATGCTGTCTCTGACCGCCTCGTATCTTTCTTATCTATGCACCTTGTGATTAGCTTGAAATACATTCTCAGGGAGACATGGCAACCTTCAATGGGGTAGCCCCCAACATCTAGAACTCCCCCTCAGCAGATATATGTAATGCCCTCATTTCTGGACACTTGACCACTTGTTTCTTTATCCTCAACTAGTATTTCCGTTTTTATTTTCAATCCTGGTTATTATTATTGTTCGGGTTATTTTAATATTATTTTTACTTCTATCCTTGTTTCCTAACCCTGTGAAGCGGTCTTGGGTCCCATGAAAGGTGCGACTTAAATGAAAGTCGTTATTATTATTAACTCTTACATGCAAGTATACATACTTTTATTCATTAAAAATCTTACACATTAAAAATATTTTTAAAAATTGTCTTTAATGGTCCATGAATAAAGAATGTTAAGTTGTATCTATTTTAATAGCTGTTTCCATTAATTCATTTAGTTTAGTTTTATATAAATGACAATTTAACAGTTTTCACAATCACATGAGGCTACTTTACAGTCACAACTTACAAAATGCTAAGACTACATCCAACTCCATTTACCTTGACATGTCCTTCTTTGACCTCTCCATACTGGACGTGCTTCCTAAGGTGGTTGCAGATGGCTCGGAGGGTGGAGTGCACTTCAACGCAGAAGTTACACCTGAATCCTATGGGGGCTTTATTTACTGGAATCTCCTGTTCAAAAAAATACAAAACATACTCAGTTAAAATCACAGATACTATTTTATTTTTGTTTGACATCTTTTTAAATTGTATTCAAAGGTGATTTGTGTTTAACCTTTTAATGAAACTGTGAGACAACACGACTATCTCTCCTTGACTCCATGATATTATAAACTTCCACTATTCCAAAATATTAAATATCTTCAATAGCATTTTTAATAAACTAATTATGAAAGTAATTATCACACCTCATTATTATGCACTTTTACAAACTCCTTGACTGAAGAGGCAAATTAATGATTTTTCACTTTGGTAGAAGTGAAACGTTTTAGGTACGCATGCAATTATGTGTGTTTACAATTTCAAGTTGAGATAATTCAACACCATTCTATAAGAGATGTATTATATCTCTATGAGCTGATTCAGATTTTTAAACATGGGCATGATTGACTTCAAGGGGAAAAGGAACACATGCAATATAACAGATTTTAGGAGTTTGTGACAACTTCATCAGATAATACAGTATGCTTTCAGATACATTCATATTTTGTAAGATTTTTGAGATTTACTAGATTTCAGAAAGAGTTGTATCTTCACTCACCTTCTCAGGTTTGGTGTCAGGTAGATCTGTGCCCTTCTGTTTGCAGAGAAGCTGCTTCCTCCTCTCCATCCTCATGGCCCTCTTATGAAACTCGTCATTGTGATTCAGCAGATGTCTGGCCAGAGCCGGGAGAGCCAGGAACTTCAGCTCGCAGTGAGAACACTGGTACAACTCAGAGTCCTCGTCCCCAGGGCCCGGTGACATCATAAAGTCCCTCTTCAGGTCAGTGCTGTGGTGGTCGTTGTAGTGCATAGAGAGCAGCTGGCCCGTGCTGAAGGACAACCGGAAACATTTGAGACACTTGAATGGTAGCCATTCAGCATCTTCGTCTTGCTCAGGCTCCAGCGGAACTTCCAGCAGCTCCTTGTAGTCCTCATCTGCTGCACTGTCAGGAATCTTCTCAGGTTCTTTGGCATAGATAACGGTGAAGTAGCGACCGAGCTTGCTAGCATGCTGCTTCTTGGGGAAGACACCTGGATGGCGCTTAATGTAATGTGAGACAATGCTCTTCCTGCTGAAGGCCTGGAAGGAACAAAGAGAACACCTCCGTCTCTCCACAGCCAAACGCAGGTCTTCACTCATTTCTGAATTCTTTGGCTCTGATACTGGGGGTGCGATCACTTTGCTAGGCTTTTCACTTAAGGTCTTGGACGCAGCCAGACAATGGGTGTAATAAGCATCAATGTCATGGCGCTTCTGATAGTGTGCTGCCAGGCCTTTGCGTATAGGATTTGTGTATGAACACAGAGCACATTTAAAGACATTGTTTTTACCCTCAGGCTGAGCACGGACGTTGTTGTGTTTGATGCGGTAGTGTCGAGCAATGCCTTTCCTGGTGGAGCAGAAGTATTTACAGAGCTGACACTTGAATATAGCATGTTTTTCTGTTTTATTGATGGGTAACTGAGAGAGGGCAAGGTCCAATTCTCCGACCTCCTGGACTTTTGCAGAACTTGATATATTACTAGCGCTGCATTCCGCTACTGGCTCTGAGTCCTTTCCGGAAGAGAAATGTGTAAGTGAGGGAGTGAACATATTAGAGGCCGACTGATTGTGATACTTCTCGTAATGAATTTTGAGTTTCTCCAGCGTACCGTGCGTGTACGGACACATTTTGCATCTGTATGCACCATAGCCCTGCCTTTGGGTTTTGCACTTGTCCTCTCCTTCATTTGTGTCAGTTATTTGCTCTATATCATCTGCAAAATCTTCTGCAGTGACTTTCACTAAAGGGTGTCTTTTCTGATAGTGAGTTAGGACACCATGGATGCGAGAGTTCACATATGGACAGTGGCGACATTTATACACAGAACTCGGGTTGATGTCAGCCTCCTGTGCAAAATCTGCAGCTTTTACTTTCATGCCTGGGTGTTTCTTTCCATAGTGAGTGAGGAGGCCATGTAGACTGTTGTACTCTGACAGACAGACAGTGCACTGATAAGTATTGTTAGAGATGGAAAGACGCGGATGGGGAGGATGGGGATTGCTCTCTTGATGTTGTGTGGCAATGGCCAGTGCTCCATCATCCTCTACAGACTGACAATTGAAAGATGCGTGTTCTTTGGCAACCTGCTGGTGGATCTTTTCAGCTGAGCCATCCCCTTTGATGATATCCAAGAGCACAGATTCATCCTCTTTGATGGCCCAGGGGTGGACCGCCTGGTAGTGACTGGTGATGTCCCATATTGTACAGGCCTCAAAGGCACAGTCTCTGCATTTGTAATGTTTAGTTTCCATATTGCCCCCTTGTTGCTGGGAGGTTTCTGGCCCGGCCCATAGCTTGCTGGCCATGTACGTGTAATCAACATTGTGCTCGGGATGACGTCTTTGGTAATGGAGCAGCAGGCCCTGGGGTTCAGCATGTGAGTAAATGCACCATTCACAGTGATAGCCAGCCTCCAGAATGCCATCTTGGTAAGCCCAGTGTAAAATTGTCATGGCCGTGGCTTTCACAGTGGGGTGCTCTTTCTTCAGATGCTTCTTCAGGGCATATACGTAGGGGGATGTGTAGGTACAGTGTCTGCACTTAAGGGATCGCAGGGGCGTAGTATTTTCAGGGTCAGGAGGTGCTGGGATGGCAGCAGAAGAGACACTACCTGACTGAACCATCTGTGCGCGCTCACGCTGACTCCGGACAACCGCAGTGTGGCGACGTACAAGGTCAGCATTGGCCTTGGTTTCTCTGTGCTTCTTCTGGTAATGAATAAGTACTCCTTTTACAGTGCGGTTGCCATAATCACAGTGCTGACAAAAGAACAGCTCATCCTCACCTTTGTCACCACCTCCTGGTTTAGGGCTTGAATTGTTGGATCCATCGTGACCGTTATTTTGAAACTGCTTCAAAAATTGTTTGGGAGTTGCAATTTGTAATTCATCCATTAATTTCATCAAACCAGGGGTGGGGGGGCCATGTTTGATATATTTTGCTGTCACTTTTACTTCCGGGTGTCTTTTTTGATAATGGACTAACACACCAACAACAGATTTGTTGCTGTACACACAATGTTTACAGTAGAACATTTCTTCATCTGATCCATATAGTACTGCGCTCGACTGTTTTTGAGGTGGAGACATGCTGAGGTTAAACGAGGAGTTGGTTGCAGATTGTGACTGATCCACTGACACGACCTTCATGGTTTTCTGTATACGGAAATACGATGCCTTCTGCTCCGGGTGTTTCTTCTGATAGTGGACCAAAACAGAGTGCATGTTGGGGCTAGCAAAGGAACACACGTCACAATCGTACACGACAACATTACCACCCATAGCTTCTTTAAGAGTGTCAGCCTCTGTGCTAGTTTCAGGGGTCTTGGAAACAGTTTTCGGCACTGGGCTGGAGGAGGACCTGGGCGTTGACGTGGCTGAGTTAAACGTCTTGGGGCCAGAGTTCAATATTTCCCTCAGAGTTTGCGATTCACCCGTTTTGTGTGGCTGCTCGACTATGTAGCTAGAGAAGATCATGGCATTGTTTATTTTCACTGTGGGGTGCATTCTTTGGTAGTGGGGCATTAGGCTCCTGACATTTGGGCTTGTATACGAACAAAAGCGGCACAAGTATAACAGATGTGGTTGGTTAAAGTTGAGCACGTTGCTAGCCTCAGGGTGATGTTCCATGTAGTGTTGGTGCAAATCGTTGTAATTTGTGTATTCGATGTAGCACTCTAAGCAGCGGAAGACCGCACTCTGGTCTTCTGGGTCCAAGATGTACTTAAAGCTGAACTTGATGTAAGGGTGCATCCTCTGGTAATGGGTGCTGACGCTACGAGCGGACTTGTTGTGGTAATCACAGTGTTTACAGTAAAAACGTGTCGTTCCGGTTTCCTCTGAATATTCAGCATTCTCTTGCACTGTGCTGTCGCTGGGATCAGCAGAGATGTTCTCACTATCATCTGAGAGAGTCAGTGATATTGGAATATTTCTAGGTTTTGCCTTGGGGTTGCTTTTTCTTTTCCCTATCCTGCCTCCTTCGTTAGAGATCATTGATTCTCTTGCATGAAGCTGTTGTGTGTTAAAGGCAAAAACAGGGTTTTTGACCCCATGATTTCTGCCCTCTTTATCAACACTGGTGTTATTTTCTCCCATTTCTTCATCATCCATGTCATCCAGATTAATGATCATGTCCTGTTGGCTTTGGCTTATCTTGCTTTGAAGGTTACTGGCAATTTCATCAATTCTGGTTCTCTTCTTGACTGAGGATAAGTCCAAAGGCAAGTCATTAATGGACTTCCTGGCTCTTTTTCCTGTTACTAGGGGCTTTTTGGTTGCAAGTCCTAAAATGGAGGTCTGGGTTTTTTGCAGAAAGATTGGAGAAGCTTCCACTTCAGAGTCTGGCTGGTCAGTCAGCTGGCTTTCAAAGGCAGCAGGATCTAGGTCATCACAGTAGGAATGCTTATGCTGCTGGTGAACCCTCAGGCCTTTCAGAGTGGTAGTGGAAAAGCTGCAGAGCGTGCAGCGGTGAGGGTTCTGCTGGTCGTTGGGTGTGCTGGTTATCTTTTTTCCATTGACTTTGGAGCTAACATTGCCTCCATTTACTGACCCTTCATTGCCATTCTGAGGTTCTGGGCTATCATTCGTCAGGTCCAAGGTTTCTAAATCTGAGGAATTGTGGCTCTGCTTGTGCGTGCCGAGTTTTAGAGGGCTGGTGCAAATAAATGGGCATTCATCACATTTATACACTGTGGTTTTGCCAGAGAGGTGAATGTTTTCAATGTGGCGGGAGATGCTGCGCCGGTGCATGGTCAGAAAGGAGCAGAAGGGGCACTGAAAGCGGTTCATGTACTTTCTAAAAGGTATTCCTTTCGTCTCCAGTAATTTGTTATCCTCGTCAGATAAAAGCTGCTTTGCGTCTGCTGACAGGGTTCCAGTGTAGCTGGGATCATCTATATCACCCAACTCTTCGTCGTCATCATCCTCTAAGCTGCTCCTGGAGTCTTCTTCATTGAGTAAGTTGGCATCCATCTCTACGACGCTGTTGGAAACATCGGATGAAGCAAACCTCTTGGATAAAATAGATGTACCTGTGCTGTTTGGTGTTACAGCACCAATCTGTGCATACTGGAAGGAGGAGATCTCTGGGACTGACTTCTCCAGTGCATGTTCTGGCGTTTTTCCTCCTGTCTCCTCCTCCTCTACCTTTCCATGAACATCAGCAACACTGACCTTTGTTCTAGCCGGGCTATGGGAGGAAGAAGAGGGAGAATCTGGTTTGGGTGAGCTTTCACTGGCCTCCCCTTCCGGCTCTGCAGCGCAGGAAACTATCTTGACCTTGTCGCTGTGCTCCTTCACCACATGACTAGTCCAGCTGTCCTTCTGGTCTGTTTGATATTCACACCACTCACAGGCAAACGTTCCCTTCACGAGTGTACTGGCTGCGTTAGATTCCTCTGTAGCCTCTGCGAATTCTGAGGGATCTCCAGCGCTCTCTAAGGGAACTTTGCTGTGATACATGAGTTGGTGTTTCATTATCCTTGCTCTGCGCGGAGACTTGTACGTGCAATACTGACAGGAATAGACTTTTGAATGGTCACTGTGCATTATAACGGTGTAGCTGGGCTGCTTTACTGACTGTGAGGAGACGCTCACATCTGAATCGCCCTCTACAAAATTATGCACTTTTTTGGTGTGATTTCTTAAGAACGATTTTGATCTGAAGTAACGGACACAGAACTTGCACTGATAAAACGGCAGATGGGTTTCAGCTGTCTGCTTTTGTGATGTTTGATTCAAACTGTCAGCAGAGTTGGGGCCTACAAAAAAAGAAAATAGGATATATAATGTTATTAAAGAATAACATTTTGATGCCATTATTTAGTCTATTACAGCTGTTTCTGGTAATACATGTAGCCACATATATAATACATATATGATCATTATACTGTGGTTGTGAAAAAGAAATGTTGCCTAATCCTCTGCAAATTAACCGTAACATGTAAATGAATGTGGTAGACATACTCATTCCAGCTTTAGAAGGTGTATAATCCCTCTCATCCTTATCCTGCAATTCCTCCTCTTCATCCTCGTCTTCATCTTCATCTTTCAGGGAGTCAGACTCATCTGCATCTGCAGGCTGCAGGAAAGCAGTGTGCACTTCCTGAATGTGGGTTTTTAAGTCGTCATATGACTCTGCACGGAAGTCACAGCCATCACACTGCAATACCTCCATCACTAAAGAGAGGGAGCACTCCCTGGAAAATCAGGGGAACCTGCAGAGAGAGAGAGAAAGAGAGAAATCATGAGGACATGCATTATTTTCCAAACAATCCACTGTGGAATAAAAGTCTCATTCAAGTGCTTGTGAATTAAAAGAAAAAAACAGTTTATAATAGTCTTGTTCAAGTGTTTACATATGCCACAGGCTAAAGTCCATTAAAATTAAGGTGTATTTACTACAGCCAGGAGACTCGTATATAGAAAGCTATCGCAAAGCTTTAAGGCTGTTTAAGTAATTCAGGACTAAGATTTTTCTATTATGCTTCAATATTCAGTGTCGTGGTCATGCTCTTCCATACAAATTAGCCTGGTGATAATGTTACAGAATTACCAACAGCAATTCCTGCTGTGAACCAAAAAATAATAACATCCACACCTTTTCCACATAACAAGACAATTGCCAGTGAAAAAGTAATGCATACAAATGTTTATAGTAATGATTATGTATTTAAAAGATACATTTTGTAGAAGTGTAGAGGTACAAAACTGTGCATACAAAAATGCAAATAAATACTTCAACAAAACGTGAAAAATATACAAATAAGAAAAATAAGACAATGTGTCCCTGTGTTTACAATGGGAAATCAGTTATTAGAAAATACTGTTATAGTACTTTGAGGATAGGGTAGAAATGCATAATTTGCATTTATTTTTCATGAATATATTCATGCTGATAAATGCTTGATTGGGAAGGAAACTGGAAAAATTTAAAGTCGACATCCAATATCACTGAAACACCTCCGAAAAAAGCCACGCAAGTGTGTGCATATGAGTTTTCTGTCACTTCAAAAATATTCATATGCAAATATACATATTTATGCAGAACTGCCACAAATGTCTGTTGTCTCATTACGATGCATCACATGTGTCATAAATTGATATCAAAATGAGTTTACAGCTCTAATATGACTGGAGCTGTCCACAAACTCTGATAGAAAGCCCCACAAAACATGACAAAGGGGAGAATTCAAATGATGCTGATGTTGCTCAGAATACTAAGAAGGTCCCAGTTTTTTAGTATAGCATCATTCAAAGAACAATGGCGGGACTGAGGAGGGATTATGGGCTGATTTGTCCCATTTTTATTACCTTGGGATAAGCAACAGCTGGAGAGCAGCTCCACAGCTCAGTATTTAGAGCAGACTATTCCATCAGATTGTATCAACTGCTCTGAAATAAGATTGAATGAATCAACGCAGAGATGAAGGCTTTGCGTCTTTGGGCTCCTCCACGGTTGGGATTTGGCCAGAATAAAATGTAAGCTGATGATGTGGCCCTTGATTTCATAGCTTTTTCATCACAGCTTTCTAATGAATAGCTGTTTTTGTCCTGAAAATATCGCAAATACAACTTGTAGCTCACACTTCAAAACCACAACATCACCAACACTTACATCAGGCCATTTTACAGGTGCACCCTGCAAGCACAGGTCTCTCATGATGTTTCCATAAATACAGGGTGATTACACCCACAAACCAACAGGTGCACCTGTGTAAACCGTCAGATAGGTCAGACAGTTCATTTTTCCCTTTTACTATTAAAAATATGTACAACTATGTGTTTTAAGTAGATTCAGCATTTTCCAGCAGATCTGGAACAGTATCTGTGATGCACACCAGATTTTCCAACCAAAAAATTCAACACTTTTTACATACATGCCCACTCTTAGGACATTTAGGAATGTCATAAACAATTCCTGATACTGATCCTTTCACCAGATTTTCAAAATGTTCTTCCCAAGTTCTGTGCAGAAGAACAAAAAAACAAACAAACCAACTACAGTAGACCACATACCTCCACCAAAAAAATCTGTCGGACATTTTACATTCCAATGTCATTTACTTTTTAAAAAGGTGCTGTCTTTTATATTAAACATTTTCCAAATCAAAACACTTTATGCTTAAAAGCCACATTTGTTTATCACCAGGTCACATTTGTGTATTTTATTAGGAAAACAACAAAGTATTTAAGTATTTACAGAGTGTTAATGGTTCACACTGGAAGCATGACCTTTGTCAATCCATCCCGAAAAGAACCTGCACCACAACACACCATGACTCATGTTGGCTCATCTTAACTGTATGACTCACCTATAACAAATAGGTCACCTCATATTCTTGCTGAACTTTCAGATGATGATCATCAATAAAAGTAAAAATACAAATACACATATTGATAAAACAATAGAGGATACTGTCAGAAAATCAGCTGAGTTGTTTTTTTTATCAGAATGTAGTAGTTTAATACCACTTTGTAATTCAGCCCACTGCTCTGGATACTGACACCAAGACATTTCAAGCGTGATCCGGCCTCAGACGGTTGGGAATCCCACCCTGCTTCCCACACCCAACCGTCCTGCCAGTGGAAAGCTCCATGTGAGCCGGCCAAGCCGCCAGTATGTCCCTGAGCAACCAGGGGATCCATTGTTGTCCAGGGTCGGGTTACAGCCTCACCACAAGGCCCCACCCTGTGCTCTTGGCTGTTCTCGGCAGTTTTGAACAAAGTTGTCTCCTAATGCCAGGTTCCTTGACATGGATATCAAGAGAATCCTTTTGGAGAAGGAGGGGAGAGGAATGCCCGGGGAGGAGGAGAGAAAAAAAAAAGCCTCCTACACCACCATAATCTGCCTTAGGGTTGGCTGTGTCTTTTCTGCGTCGGCCTCTACGCCACACCAAGTTAATGGGTGAGATTGTGTCACTGCTTTCATCTAGTCAGCTGGGGCTCTAACAGGCAGCGGCTGAGCTGCTCAGATCCTCCTCTGAGCTGAGCTTCAAGGGCAGCCATTTTAGGAGCTGACTGTGTGTGTGCTTAGGTGTTCAGCCAGCACACAACATGGACCCACAGATCTGATCCTGTTCCTCAAAGGCAGGCAGCCTGTCACTGGAGAGCTGCTGACAGAAATGTATCTGCCAGATGCACAGTGCTGTACCCAGGCCGTCTTCCCACACAACTCAGCAGAAAACATCTCCAACTCTCACCAGCCTGATTTTGCCTACTCCTCTTCTTTCTCAGAGGCATTATCCCTGACATCAAGAGATTTTCAGAGGATGGCAGGGAACCCTGTTCCGAAGAGAGGCGGAATAGGTCTGAGCGAGCTGCAACACTTTGTGGAGAGAAGCACAGCACTTGCGTTTTGAAGGACCTGCCAACCGCTTTCCACAAGGGGGTCGAAAAATGTGAGGCATGTCTGAACTTCTTTATCTCAGAGCTCTGCAGCCCTGAGCCACGAGGAGAAGACGGGGGGGGGGGGGGGGGGGGGGGGGGGGTCAGGAGAGACGCAGAGGGAGAGAGAGCAGGCCTCGAGGGGAAGGGTGGGAGGAGAAGGGAGGCGGCAAGGGAGCATGACAGAGCCACCTGGAAGATCTTCAGTGGTAGGCAACGGAGGACAAAGCCATCAGACTGGGCTCCCCAGATTCCAAAGTCTACTGACATTTGTTAATCACCAACCGGTCTCTCTGCATCGGTGAGCTCTGCCAGCAGTCACACCCTCTACTCAAACTGGCTGACAGCAGCTGCTCTGTCTGAAAGAGGACCTTTGAATAAGCCAGCATTAAGCTGATTAGGAGTACAGAGGTTTTGTCCTTAACTGTTGGTTAGCGCTACTGTCTCATGGCGTTTGGGAGACCAAAAATTCCCGGATGTGTTAGAATATCGTGCGGCCCGGCATCCTGGTTCATTTATTTGGCAAACAGGACAGGACATGCATCTTTTCAACCTGCGCAGCCACAGTAATTAATGACCCATCGACTGAAAATGACAGGCGGCTTTTTAAAGGAGAAATACAGTGGCAATAACAGCAGGGAAGCCAGAGCCATGGACATTGATTTTTGCAGATATGAGATGACAGCATCATGAGGAAAAATCAATATTTTTTTTGTTTCAAGAAAGTTATGAGAGAAAGAGAGAGAAAAGTGAAAAGATATCAGCATCATACTCCAAATTCTGATGAGCTCTTTAGCCCGCTGTGTTCACCTGGTTAGTGAGAGCAAACAGCAAGAGCACAGAGGAGGATCTCATTGTGTCTGCAGAGGAACAGAAAACGCTGCGTCACATGGACCAGTGAGAATTTGGCCTCTTGCACAAACATGAGATGGAAAGCAAGAGAGCGAGAGAGAGAGAGAGAG